TTTCTTATAGCTGCCCTCGACAAGCCTCCATTGATCATAGTAGTTGTTGACATACGTTGGCGTAAGCTTTTGGCAAATGTCGGCAGGAATCAGCAAGTGCCCATTAGGTGCTTGATGAAATGGTCCATTGAAGTTTTTTTTAGTCGAAGTTAGGACCCACTTATTTGAAAACCCTGGCTCCACCACTGATGGAGATCACGTGTGAACAAAAACTCTAAATTGTATTGGGAGTATGAGATAGGGATTACGATGCCCATAGGTCTAATTGTATCACTTAATCACTACCATGACTCCATGATACCAAGTAAAGTAGATCCAATAAATCAAAACAAGTCCACCTCTTTCATTATTTCAGACACAGATCAGAATTACAAGTTAAAAAGAAACACATCTCTTAATGACAGAAATCAACACCAACAAACTCCTAGTGTTAATTTGGGAATTATTGAACAAAATCAAAATTAAAAGGACAATATAGTGTCACTCTAAATCTTGTCGATTTTCTGAAGAGAATCCTAGTACCTTAGTGACTAGACCCATAATGTTGTATTAGCTAAATCTTAACCTGCGCAACCATGTGGCTCCAAACTCATATCGAAGGGGCAAATTGGAGTCAAAACATCTGTTGGCTTTGTTCGTGGGCTAAATGACGGTAACTATCTTGTGACTACAACGTTTCACGATGACAATTTGACACAAAATACAAAAGTAAGCGGAAAAGATGAAAAAGAAGAGACCTAAAAGGATTTTTTAGAAGGTTTGACTGCGGATCGAAAGCCAAAGACTAAGGCCGAAGACAAAAGATGATTTCCTTTTCTTTTTCCCTTTAGACGGCCTCAGCCGTTGGCCTTAGAGTTGGCGGGCAAACCTTCTATGATTAGTATTTTAGACACATGTCATAATTATAGATAGAGAGTAACGCTCAGTGTGAGCAAAAATGGACTAGAGACAAAACAGATTTTATTTTATTAAAAGGGAGTTAGAAATATATGTACGTGACCAATTTTTTATTTTATTTCTATTAGAAGTGATATTCGGCACTAAATGATGGTTCTTGTATTTTATTTCTATTAGAGTTAGTAAATTTATCTTTCCACAAAACTCAAATTGATACATGATTGCAAACTTATCCACATAAACGATGGTTCTTCTATTTTCTAAAGTACGAATAAATTGAAAGCTAAAACTTGAACCAAAAAGACAAAATCTAAGGGTCTATTTGATATTTACCATTTCGGTTTTTGTCTTTGGTTTTCACTGTCTGTCTTAGTGATAAAGGAAATTTCACCCTCTTCATTAATTTCTTCTCCTCTCCTATCTCCCTTCTTTATCTCTCATTTCTCCTATATAGTTTTCTTGTATTTCAAACGTAAAAGATAAAAACTAAAATCTAAAAGCGAGAAGGTTCCAAATAGAGCGTACATAAATAAAAGGGATAGTTTTTAGTTGCGGTCTTTGGTTCCTAATTGTTATAGACTCAAATCTTATACATTTTAAGTTTTTAATTAAAATCCCTCCCCTACCACATAAATGACATAATAATAAAAAAGATGCAATAATACCAATAAAAACTCAACCTTTTTTTTGCTTTCATTTACACTACCAATTCAATTATTCAAAATTGCTTATGGGTTTCATAAAACAATAATAATTGCTTATGGGTTTCATAAAACAGTAATAATTGCTTATGGGTGCATTCTAGGTATAAAAAATGGGATTTTATTTTATTTTTATAAAATATGGGTACATTTATATAGGGTACACTTTACAATTAAAAAATTGGTACATTGGGTGTACATATTACATACAAAAAATTGATACATTTTATACGAAAAAGGGGCACGTTTTATATAACAAAAATGGGTACATTTTGTGACAGCCCGTCCCGGGAATGTTAAAACGTACGCGTGAAAAGACTATTTTGCCCCTAGTTCGATTTCGTTACGTTATTGGTTTTTTTGTGTTGTGTTGGCATGTTTTGGGCCACACACTCACACTCCCACACCCCACACCTTTCTGTCCCTTTCCTTGTGATTGTCCCAAGCCCCATTTCCCTTCCCATTCACCATATACGTATGGACACACACCCAAAACCCATTAAACCTCCACAGATCGAGGAAACCAAGACCATATTTGAGCTCATGAGGCTTGTGGGAGTCCAACCATACCATTTCCAGGTAAGAACACCATCGTTTTCACGTCGAATCCACAATGTCCGAATTTGAGTATTGTTTATGCACACGTGATTTCTCACGTTTTAGGGAATTTCAAGCTTGTAGGTAGCTTGGTGAGGTCCCAAGGAGGCTCGGAGTGGTTCGTTTCAAGGAATTGAACGTCGGGATCACTAGTTTCGAAGTTAGCCGGAGTTGGGTTGAATTTTCAGGTGAGATTTCGTGGTTTTTAACCCTTGAAAGTAGTATGATTGTGTTCCTCTAGTTCTAAGCTTCATTTTGGTACCAATATTGTGAAATTTGGATGAAAAACGAAGAAGATATCGAAGTTTAAAGTTTTCGCGATTTTCCGACGCCGGAGGCTCGTCGGGGAAGAAGACAGAATATTCCTAACGCCGTTGACGGAAACCGTTAGGGTTAACGGAATATTCCCTACGGCGTCAGTTGACGCCGTCAGCGTGCCAGGCACGTGCCTGCGCGTGGTCGGCGCGTGTGGCCGTGCCTTGGCCGGTGCGTGAGGGCGCGTACGGTGGTGAAAAATTATTTTAAAATATGGGGATGTTCCTGAGGTTGAGTAGATCACGTTGGTGTATTCATACACCCCATTTGAGCATTGTATGAGAAGTTATTTCTAAAGTTTGGTTATGTGCTTTAAAATTAACGTTTTTATAGTTATTTCGCATATAGGTGAGACGTATCCCGAGAACGAGCGTGGTCACTCGAGGCAGAGGGGTTACGACCTTTCCACTTATCAGTGAGTGGGCTTTTGGTTTTCCGTATATACCTATATACTTATATTTCCCAGAAATTGATTTAAATGTTTATTAGTTATATGCCATTTTTATATTGTTGGTTATTATGCATGATTAGTTGCATTTATATATATATATATATATATATATATATATGTTCGTATGTATTGGTGCTGTGGACGCACAGGTAAGTGCCAGGTAAGTGTTATTCACGTTTATATTCAGTAGTGATTTGAGATGCTTAGAGAGCTCATAACCTGCACCCCCGGTGTTAGTGCTCCTGCCCAGAGTAGGGCACAGTCTTTCACGTGTTGTTCACCTCCCGCACCACACGCTCAGCTTGGATCCAAGTTAGGTGCACAGTCCTGTCGTACAGACCACTTTAGGTGGTTCCGACTCGTAGGTGACCCGCGATTATTCGCACAGCTTTCACGTGATCGTAGCACTAGAGCGTTTATATGTATTACACCCAGGCCTGTCGTACAGACCACTTTAGGTGGTTCCGACTCGTGGGCAGGTTTAATTATTGAGATTGAGATTGGAGCTCTAGATGCAGCCGTACAGGTCACGTTAGGTGACTCCGGCTGCCAGATTATACGTTATTGATATGATTTTTCACCTGAGCACTTGCATTTCATTGTGAGATTTGGCATGGCATATTCTTAAGCATGATTGGTATATATATTTATATGTACAAATGTTTATTTTCTGGGAAGTATACAGGTTTTACGGCGAGGAGTTATAACTTATTTTGTTAAATGGTTTTCGAAAAGCTTTGTTTTTGCCCACTCACGCTTTTGTTTTGCGCCCCTCCAGGTTCTAGCTATCTAGCAAGTTTGGTGGTTTCCCAGAGGGCTTTTCCGGCATTTCTGACAGACGATCACCAGCGTAGGGCCACCTTCGGGTGTACTGTTGTCGTGTCATTTAATTTGGACTGCTTTAGGTGTTATGCTCTGAACTTGTGCCTCACTTACGCTAGCACTTATTACTTTCACCTTATGTATGCTAGTTTTTAATTATTCGTACTTCTTCTATTATTGTTTTTTTAGCTTCCGCACTGTGCACATGGTTACGTCACCTTCGCGTGACGGCCAGCACTCCCTGATCTCGGTTGGGGTGTGTCACATTTTATATAGATTTTACATTAAAAAATAGGTACATTTTACATAAAAATGGTACTTACAAAAAAAAAAAGATACATTTTGCAATAATAAAGTGGTACATTTGTAATAAAAATGGGTACATTATAAATAAATTATGAGGACAAATAAAAGGTTAAAAAAATTATGAATACAAATAAAAGTTTAAAAATAAGGGACAAAAAGAAATTAATATATGGGTACAAATTAAAATTTAAAAGAAAATTGGTACAATTTAAAAAAAGGGTTGCAAATTAAAAATGGGTACAAACTACAAAGAGAAATATATGATAAAAAGTTTAGCCATAAATATAAACATACTAAATGTAATGTTTCTAACACTAAATAAATGACGTTAATTAAAACCCAAAGACCTTGATAAAAATTTGACAAGAAATAAGGTTTTAATCAATGGAATATAAAAAAATAAGGATTAGAGCTTAATTTCTCCTAAATAAAATAAGAATATCTTTGCGAGAGTGAGAACAGGTTGGTTGTTTGGTTTGGTTACACATGAAGCTAAATGGACACATTGAATATTTGATTGAGATGGTGCCAATTACCAAAAGGAGGGGCCATATATGAGAGTTTGTTAAAGTTGTGATATACAAGCAAACCATCCAGATACAATTATTATTAAACCTTACTTAGAATATAGAACTTCTTCTAACAACGCCCGTCTTAATCCAACCAACCTAATTAAGCTATTAATCTCTTTCTCTCTCTCTCTCTCTCTCTCTCTCTCTCTCTCTCTCTCATTAAGCTGTTAGCTTCTATCTTCACCTCACACACAGCATACTTCAACACCAAGCCAAACATTGCCTTGCATTGCACCACCTCCACCAACAGCAACAGCAACAGCAAACCCCTCTCTCTCTCTCTCTCTCTCTCTCTCTCTCTCTCTCTAACTGCACCGCAACAGATAACATATAAATTCAGTTATGGCCTCTAACTGTTTTGATGCTTCCCCTCCACTCTCAACTCTCCTCATTCTCTTTCCCTTAATCCACATCCAATATAATATATTATATGCATGGAGCCCAACACCAACACCGCCTTCCCCAACTCACCCGATTCTTCCCGAGGTTTCTGCTCCGATTTCTCCTCAAATTTCCAGCCTATATATACACTTCCGAGCTCCCTCTCTCTGACTCCGTCCACCCGCTCCTCCTTCTCCGATACCGACTCCGACGAGCACCACCACAGTACGACGTCCCTCAACCAGGCTCAGCTGGTCCTCGAGTACGAGGAGCTCCGCGACCACTATGATCTATGCAATTCTCACCTCCGCAACCTCACTAATGAGCTCAACTCGATCCGCCGCGAGAACGCTCAACTCCGGTCGGTGAACACCGACCTCGTCAAGCTCCTTTCTTCGCAGGCCGCCTTCCAGAGCTTCCTCCCCTCGTCGTCGTCATCGTCCGCGTATCAGAGTCCGACGGCGACGTCGTTTCTCGATGACTTTCGGCGACTAGGATTTGGATCTCTCCGTCTCGGTCCTCAGGACGGCGTCGTTTCCGAGGAATCCTCCGATATCAGTCCGACGAGCGTCATGGAGCGAAACAGATTCATCGATGCGGACCGGATCTCGCTCCCCAAGAGCATTTCCGTTCGCTCCTCGAATCGACCACGTGTCCCGAGCGTTTCTAGACCGATGACTGTGAGTTAAATTAAATTTACAAACTTTTAATCACTTAAACCGAATTAAATGAATTTTGATTAAATAATTAATTGTAATTAAGATTATAAAGTGGGTGACGGTAGTGTGTGGGAAAGTGCAGCAAAGCCAGATGAAGGTGTTCAATCAAGGCATGCTGAAGACGGAGCTTTGCAACAAGTGGGAGGAGACGGGGACGTGTCCGTACCGGGATAATTGCCAGTTTGCTCACGGCGTTAGGGAGCTCCGTCCCGTGATGAGGCACCCGCGCTACAAGACTCAGCTCTGCCGGATGGTGTTAGCTGGTGGCGCGTGTCCTTACGGTCACCGGTGCCACTTCCGTCACTCGCTTACTGAGCAGGAGAAGCTGCAGTTGGCCGTCTCAGACTCGTTTTGAAACAAAAAAAAAAAATAATAATACCATTACATTTTTCTTTAATGTAAATATATTGTTTGTACAGGAAAAAAAAAAAAAAAACCCGCAATCATAAAAATTGAGACAGTAATAATGAAGGAATTAAGTAACTTACTTTAGTGGCATGCATGCTCCGTGCATTGCAGGGAGGGAAATGTGGATTTTGATATGTTACTTTAGGATCCCAAACTTAAATGTAGAAATTCGGGTTCCATTGTTTTACTCGTATTGATTTGTTTTTTTAGTTAGTTAATTAATATATATTTGAAATGTCCATGGTTGTACGCAACGTTCAATTCAAGTAAAGCTTCATTACCATTCATTCAGCCAACTTTATACATATGGCTCTCACAAGTCACCAAATATGCAGATGTACAACATTGCATTGAAGGTGAACGAAAGATTGAAGAGAAAGCTAGCAAGCAATGGACGAAAAAAAGAAAGAAAATTACTACGATTAAGGAAAGTAAAGATTAACAATATTTTCACGAATTCGAAATTGAAAATCCCAAATATCCGAAATTCAGAACAAGTTTGCGATAGACACCAAGAAGTCCAGTAGTTGATCATTCCGAATAGCCCTGGATATGTCACAATGCTGAAGTGTAGGCCTCTTGCTTTCTTCGGTGTGCAACCATGAACGAAGTGTGAGCTCCATGATGAAAAGCTCACATGCTTTGGAGAACAAGATGGGAGTCTCCGAGCTAATCAACTGAAATTAGGATATTCAATCTAATTAGTATTTTAGAAAGTTTAGTAAATTAGAAAGGAGTTTTCTTATATACTAATCAAAACCTTAAATTTGTTCAAACCTTAACTTTTCCATCTGATTTCATTATTCGTTTTACCCTTGCAATAGGAAATTCGTGATGGGTTTTCCTCACTGTGGATTATACATCATAAGAAGCCAACAGGTGGCCGTTAGAAACTTAAATCAATAAAAATGAAAGATGTTAGCGAAAGTCAGGCATGCGAGCGTAGAAGATACTAGTCGTGATTATTATTGCAAGACAATGGTTCATTTATCACGAACAATCTACCATGGATGGCTTGTCAATTGTGTATCATGATGTCCGTGGTGGAATTGGATTTTTTTTACCATTAGCTCTTCATGACCATAGTAAATGACATGTGGTAAATGACATGTTTTCTTCTAGTTATAGACAGCAACAAAATAAGAACCTGGTGTATTTTGAATCTCGAACAACTGTTGATTCCAAAATACATCGATATTTTCCTTCTGCAGTTGCGTAAAACTAGAGCGTTTCGCCTCATGATTTTCCTCCTGCATAATCAAACGATTTCAAGAAAATTAAATAATTAGAAGAATAAAGAAAAACACATGACCATGTCTAGCATAAGAAACTAGTAGAAGGAAATTAGCTAGGTTCACCTCTTTGGTAGAAAGATGAGGGTCGCAATCGGGTAGAATGTAAGAATCCAATGGAATGAAATCATCGAACGGGGAAGAAGTGTTCGAAGAAGATGAGAAATTGATAGAATGGTTCAAATCCATAAGTACGCTAAAGTATTTCAAGGGCTTCTAGCTAGTTTCTAGCAACTTAATTTTAGATGAGGTGCATATTGAGTCGTTTAAATAGAGAGACGTGGGTGGAAAAGTAGAGGTTTTTTTTAGGAAAACTAATGAAAAAGATTTGAAAACTTCAATTTTTAATGATAAGGACAGAATAAAAGGTAAAGTGAATAATACAAAGATTGACTTTTTAGTGTAAAAATGTGATTTTTCGTTAAAGTGAACAGTACCATGGGCTTTTCGTTAAAACTCCTTTTTTTTTTTTTTTTTTGTTGGCTTTCAATCATCTTCTTAATTGTCTTTAAGTTAGAAGAATCCAAGAGCAATAAGTTTGAAGTCATGACCATTGAATATGAGGTAATCTGAAACTGGATATTACTAATTAATGATCAGGATATGATGTGTAATTAAGAGAGAATCTAGTGCTATATTTGAGTGTTTTTTTGTTTTAAATTTTGGAGGCCTTTACATACGTGAATATGAAAGATGTAAAAGAAGTGTGCTCCTACTCAATGACTACAGTTGAAAGCATATGTTTTTCACACAACCATATATATTTGAGTTTCACATGCTAAAATGTAAAAATCCCACATAAATCTGCGACAATACGGATTTTATGCTCCGATGGATGTAATGATGGATTCTGTTTTGGGCAAGCCAATTTTTTTCATACACAAAATGCATCAATTTGTTGTATGTGTGCGTAATAAAGCATAATCTAATGTTATAGGTTCATGATCCAGGATGATCCACGACAGTAAATATTAATAAATATTGAGAGATAAGTGAACTACATAGAATAACAAAGTTATTATACACAAGTTCCTCTGAATTTGTATTCTCAACAGTGTTAAAAATACAACATTTTGTTAACACCTTGTATTGTTTATATTTTTGTAAGTTGGATAAAAAAAAGCCTTTTGACAAATTAATCCATGCACAATGAGATGCATTGGATATTTTTGGTTTAATATTGTTATTGGTATAAAAAGTCCAAGGCAATGATATGGATTGGTTGGAGAGAGTCTTCATAACCTCCAAGCTTAATGAAAAAGTGCAAGTTGCTGTTGTTTGAAGGAAAAAATAAAAAAAATAAAAAAACCCACGGTTGTCGTGTAAATTAGGATTTATATATTCACCCTGCTACAGCAATAGGATTTAATTTGTTTTCATTTTCCTATTCGGTTTTCTTTATTTCTATATGCATGTTTTAGGAGGATTTCCCTTTCTAATTATATTCCAACAAGGAATAGGACTTCATCGATGACTATATATATATAAAGCCTTGGTTACCTCTTCCCTGCTGTACATATTAAGTCACAGATCGTGTTCTTGGTGTGTTTCAAGCTTTAGATGCCGCTTTCCCTGAGTTTTCCGCTGCTAAGCTAGAGATAAGGTTGAAGGATGTATGTGGCTGTGTGTGGAAGAAAGAGGTCCATCTTCAAAGACCAATCGCCGGCCCTCAGAAAGAGGCTTCGCTGTTCTTCTTCTGCCTACTCATCCATAAAACTCTTCTATGCTCCATCTCTTCTCGATCAGCTTCAGTCTCCTCGAATAAAGTTGAGGTTCCACCATAAAATCAATTGACAATATAAGGAGTAGCCCAACTTATTTATAAGCTTATGTAAGGTCCCTCCTCCCTATTGAGAATGAATCCCACATTGAGGAGAGGAGGGACCTTGAATGTGCTTCTAAGAAGTTGGGCTACTCCCTCATATTGCCAATTCGTTTTATGGTGGAACCTCAACTTTCTTCATAGTATTAGAGCAGGTTATCCCACGTGTTAAGCCCAAGGCCACATGTGCTCCACGTCACCCAAGTTGTGTTGTCCACGTGGCAGATTTGAAATCCCAATGGCCACATGTGCTCCATGTCACCCAAGTTATGTTGTCCATGTCTTAGACTTGAAAATTTGCCACACATGAGGTGGCGTGTGAGAATGAATCCCACATTACATTAACGGGAGTGAAGATAGCACGTCACCCCAAGTTGTGTTGTCCACGTGGTAGACTTGAAAATCCAACTGCCACATGTGCTCCACGTCACCCAAGTTATATTGTTCATGTCTTAGACTTGAAAATTTGCCACACGTGAGAGGGCATGTTGAGAGTGAATCCAACATCGATGAGAGAAGGGACCTAAAGTGGAACGTCAACTTTCTTCACTCCCATTAATGTAGCTTTGAAACAACGCTACAACACTCTCGCAAATCCCTTGCACGCTCACGAATCCATCTCTTAGCCCTCATCTGGTCATCGTTTCATTCATTGTTTGGTGATCGTCTCAGCCACTAATATGTTGCCCTAAATTTTTTGTCTGATTATGATGTTTGTTTGCTCAGTGACAATGGTGTTGATTTTTCAATTTCGTTCCATTTCTTCAATATGGTTCGATCAGTTGGGAGCTGTGTTAATTGGTGAAGAAAACAACCTAATAGAAAGGTTGACAAGAACATGAAAATTGCACATGGAAGAAAGCATAATTCAAGCTTGTCAACAACCATTAGTACCATGTGAAAAAGATTAAACTTTTGGAGAACCAACTCTCTCACCTACTTCCTCACTCTCCTTCTTGTTGGGGCTGTAATCCCTTTAAAAAATTTGGAAATTAGAAGAATAACTCTAGTTTTTCTCTGTGAAAAAAAGTCAAGGTAGGCCTGGGACCATTTGGGTCCCTTTATGGCTTTGCCTCTGCCCTCATGTTGTGGTGAATTCTCAAGCTGACAACACAAACAAGGTGCATTGGCTAATGATGAAGCTACTAAAGCCACTACTGAGAATCCATCAGTTGGAATAAGCAACCTGCATATAGATGATGTGGAATGGGTTGAATTGTTTGTAAGGGAAATGAGGAGTGCCATTAGTGTGGATGATGCTAGAGCTCGTGCTGTGAAAGTTCTAGAACTTTTAGAAAATCCATCACTTATTGACCAAATTGTAGTGGTACAGGATGAACTTCATATTGAATTGGTGGCTAAATTGTAGTGGGCACTTGTTGACCGAATAGCCCATTAAGTGGCCTTCTATTTAGCCCTTTTTTGAAGAGCCACAGGGTGGCTAGGGTTCTTTATGAGGCAGCTGATGCTTCCTTTGTTTGTAGCTAGGCCTGACAATTCTTGACACGACCCGATAACCTAATATGACATGACACGAAATTAATAGGTGCTCGGGTAGACGCGATAACGAATCGAGTAACCCGATAAGTACCTGTTAAGATAACAGGTTGGTTCGGGTATACACGTAGGTAACCCAATACACGATAAGCAAAATATTAATGTAATAATTTTATAACCCTAAAAAATACTATAATAATTATATATATATATTAATTTAACAATTTTACACCCCTAAAAACTATAATAATTATATATATTAAATTAAATTGAAAAAATTGGTAACCATTGGATTGGTTGAGAATTAATCTCAGCCGTCCATTGTGCATTAGGTTGGAGGCTAATATATTTTTATATGGTATAGTACTATTGTTTTATTTCTTTTCATAATTATTTGGTAAACTTCTCATAATTTGAATGGTTTTTAATGTTTGGTTTTTCTACACTTAGTTTATGCGGAAGAGAGTTTTGACGTGAAAAACTTTACTGAAAACATCATCAACATAACTCTTGAAGGCAATAGATCAAACAAAAGTTCCAATACAATTTCCTCATGATGATCGAAGAAAATTGAGGATTTTGTAAAAGGAATAACATGCAAGCTTTGAGTTCCATTGACAAGGTTTAT